ATTACAGAATGCTGGCTACCCAGTTTTAGGGAATAAACTCTTTTTTTCTCATTAGGAAATTCAGTTGCAGTTTTGAAGGTATCATTGATTTCAAGTTGTTTCCCAACTGCTATAAAGTATCCATTTCCTATAAACCTTGAAATAATAAATTGTTTCTTTATCTGTTGGTTGAGTTCCAATGTCATATCAGTGCGGTATCTGTTATGGGTCATATTTGGAAACTAAATTCTACAGCTTGCAGGAGGCTGATTCTGTAATTTAATAGAGTAATCGCTGTTGTAGTGGGAAGAATTTATTCTGAAATACTTTCCTGAAAGATCAACACGTATCACTGAAAATCGCATTCACTTGTGGTTGTAGGTAGTGTTCCTCCGCTGAGGAAGGATGGGTACGACTCTCTTGAGCCTATTGATATTTCAACGACAATGGGGTATTCTTTGCGTTAGAACTTGGGAGTGACTTTTACAAAGTAATCCTTCCTTAGATTTAAACATTGAGATTCCTATATGTTCAGGGTTCATCACTTTGTTCTGTTATTTCGGTAGCTCCGGGGGCTGTCCTTTCACTGTAACGCAGCCCAGATGCCGCTTCACTGGGTAGCAACTGAGAAATGAACAAACCAATGCAGAGTTTTGGAAAGGAAGAAGGGTGGGAAAACCTGGGTGTGTTAACCGTGATGACAGCAAAAGACTCGGAAGGAAGAAGCACTCGATGATGTAAGCTCTGTGGGAGGAGAACAACTTCTTGTGTTTTAAGACTGTTGAGAGTAGCAATTCAGTGAAGCAATAATCCTTGCTTCTGCAGCCTGTATAGGAAGACAATGAGGCCGGTGTACAAATTGTCCCGGCATGAATTATGAAGCATAGGCTAGCATCGAGGTCTGTTTTATACAGGTGAGCTCCAGAAAGGAATTACTTTAAAAAAAACCAAAACAACAACAACCCAAAACCTATTTTCTTTTATTGGTTACTCCTAAATCCAATGTAAGTAGAGTGTTTTGAAGTTCACTAATCCACAACTTCTGTCACGTAATAAAATGAAGTACACCGATGACTCTTCAGTTAGTGCCTGCGGAAGCGAGTGCATTGACAGCTTTGGGCACTGTCACAGCTGGGGACTGGCTGCTGTGAAGAGCGATACAGCGTGGGCAGACTTTGACCTGGAGGGCTGTATGTGGGGGAGATAAGAGGGACCAGACACCGTCACGCAGCTTTTGAATTCTGTTAATACCGTGTCTGGATCTCATTAATACCACTTTGGTGGGATAGTTGTACCAAGATATCAGCAGAGAACTTCTGCTTCTCAACACTAGCAAAACTGCATTTTTTGCTGCTACACCTTATTTCAGCCTTTCTGAGAAAAATAAGCTGTCCTGGCAAGAGCATTCTTTGTCTGTGTATGTGTAAGGACTTCTGCTGGTTATGTTGATCAAGTATTGCAACTTACTGTAGACCCAGACGGACGTGACCGTGACGAGAAGCATGTAGTGTTGTCATGGCTTAGTGCTCTAGCCTTGTGACAGGGAGTTCTTCCTATTAGGAACAGGGCTGAGGCTCATAAACAGTCTTTGTTAAATCACTCAGCAGTCTGTAGATCATCAACTTTCGAATGATGTTTGTAGATGGAATTAGAATGGGTGAATATGAATAGCCTAATACAGCACATTGTAATTGGCCAGATATATGCATGTAACACCCCAGAGAATAAATAAACCTTTAAGTCCTAGTGAGATGCTGCACAAAGTGGTTTGGTTTATATCCCAACTTTTTCAAGTGTGGAAGCTCTTTTAAGGAAAGACTGAAAGTTGCCAGTGTGGTAGAAAAAGGTCTGCTCTTATTTCAAAGAGATGGGATAGGGTAATGCTTTTTAGGGCAGAAACCTTTTGCTTAGGCTGTTGTACAATTTCAGTGCTTCTCAAACTGAAATGTTTGGCTGTGGATTGTATGAACAGCTTTCTAGTGTTGTGTATGCGGCCTCACCTGATGTTGCGGCTCAATTTTAGAGAAGTCTTTAAGGAAGATTTAAGTGAATTCAACATACCAGGCTGGCAACAGATCAGAATTTCTGTAACGTCCGCAGCGACGTGCCATTCAACTGCTGCCAGAGGAATGAACTGGATAACCAAATCATGTAACCCACAGGTCACAGTAGTAGGAGAGAAGGTTTTTTTTTTTTTCTCCCTGATGCAACAGTTGAAGCACAAGTTCTCAGTCTGTACTTGCTGAGTTGTATGACTAGAAGATGGTTATACAGATGTACAGTCTTCTGAATGTAAATATCCATTGCTGATTTGCAAACGAGGGTTCGTGGAGGCTCGAAATCTGATGGTGTTGGCTGGAGGAGGATTAGTTGTTCTGGTAGTGGCAGTGAGGTTTTTTCCTCTTACACCATGAGATACTTGCTTGTTAGAGGAGCTGTACTGTCCAGTGAAATGAGTGGTCTGCCTTGGTATTTGATATTGTAAGGCCAAAGAACCTGCACCTGGGGAAAAAATGTCTTTTAAATGAATTATCATCCTTTCTCTTCCCTCTCAAGAGAGAAATGAAAAGCGTTAAAATTATTTTACCGCATCAGATTAGCATCTTCCAGCAGGACCCAAAACTTACAGTTTCCACTCTTAGTCAGACTTATAAGCAGGAAAACATAAAGCATAATTATTCAAATGCCGTGTGACATTAGCAAAGTTATATTCTTAACGAAGCACAGAATGTTGTGTAGTTTCTTGTTTTATAGAGTTTTGCTTTCTGCAGGTTGATTTTTGCTTTTTATAGTTCTGGTGTGGCCACACCAAAGTTTGGGTCCCAGCGTGATATACTTTAACAGATCCCTTATTTAACATTCTGGTGCTTAGTTCTACTAAACTAAATGGATGCTCTTACTTTCAGAGTATTTGGGTAAAAGAAAGTGATTTAATTATTTTTAAAAGAAAACAACAACAGTAAAAAACAGGGAAGTTGAGAGTAATTCTAAAATTTCTTGAACTATTTCTGCTTTGACTCTGTCCATCCAGCAGTGGATGTGCCAGGATGACTGAAGCGCTGTTGCTGCTTCTCAAGATAAGGGGTTTTTTTTAAGTATTCAGAAGAAAAAAAAGATTGAACCTGGTTTTAGTAACAAATAAAAGCAGCCTAGGGTGCAATTTCTTACTAGTGTGAGAAATCTGTTTGCTTTTCAGTTTGGCAGATGTAAAGTAACAATTAATTGGTAAATAGTACAAGCAGTCCCACTTCCTCTTCCTAGAATGGGTGGTGGTTTTGTGTTTTTGACCTTGATACGCAATCCCGCTTGCTCCATGTGCTGTCCCTCAGATACGCTGTCCCCTCAACAGTAACATTTTTGTGTTGGCTTTGTGGCTGATGTGCAGAGAGCTGCTGGAGAGAAGAGATGGTTTTACAGCCACGAGATTTAAAAGTTACTGCAATTAGTGAATTTTGCTGTATAGCATTGTGCTATTGTTTTCCCTAAGTCGCTTAATTACAGTGACAAATGTGCCCCCAGTTGATTGCACGGGGCAGTAAAGATGAATACAAACATCAATATAATCTGAGTATGAAGTCCACAAAACATAGAGCAAAATTCTGGTCAAGTTCTTGCTTGTTACTGTTATAACTTCAATTTCTTTTTGCAGTCTCAGAGGAGGGAAGTGTTCTTAGTGTTTTGAAAAATATTAGATAAGGTATGGAGATGCGTTGCATTTGGGAGGGTGAGAATTTAATGTGGGCAGGGTTATATGTGGATTCTTATTACGAGAAGTATCTGTGGGATGTGTTAATGTCATTTCAAACCCTGACCAAAAGGGCACAGCAACCCTCCTTTATGCCTACACAGAGACAGAATAAATAATACAGAGCTATGTTTACTTTGGAAGGGCTAAACTGACCTTGCTTGGAAGCAAACTTGTATTTCTTACCTGAAGTTTAGGTCACTGTATATTTCTTCTTGTTGAATATCAGGATTATTTAGGTGAATGCAAAAGCCTTCTCTGAGCCAGTAGTTGAGTTTTGGAAATCTAACTTTGATTTAGTCTGATTTTGGTGTGTTAATTTGCAATGGAAAATTGGAAGTGTGTGTGACAGCTTTCTTGGCTGTAATTAATTCTGTGAATAACCTCAGGTTTTGGAGATCTTTTGATGCTGAGGCTACTTTCTTTCCCTCAAAACCACGTAGTGTTTAAGCCCTAAGTGTTCAATATTAAAATAAGGCGGAGGGGCGGGGAGTGAGGAGAATAACCCGCCTCGCTAGCTGCTGAGAGCCAACGGGTGCAAACTCTGCTCTGCTTTTCTGGTGAAGGAAGAGGTTGGGAAACCCCATCTGAGGCTGTCACACCGTCTGAACTGGTTTTCCCAGCAGCTGAGGTGGAATGACCTATTCCCTTTAATTGTGCTATTGTTCAGAAAAGCCCATGGCTTAGGTCTCCTGCTGGCCTAAGAGATGCTCATCTGTCTTGAATTTTAGCAAGGAGGCGGGGAGGAAGGGAAGAGGTTTCTCTCTTGTTTGAGTGGTCTTCCTGTGGTTTTTCTGGCTTGTTCAGTTTGCAGTGACTATGGTGTAGAGAGAACTTGGTCTGTTCTGTATGCTTGACGGTCAAAGTCTGCTATCTTACTGCTTTGTGTTAGAATAACACTTTCTAGCGCCAAACTAGGAGGGCTGTAGAGAGTGGTTGGAATTTTAGCACTGTTATTCTGACTTTGTAACACTTGGGCTCCTAGTTTTTAGGCACTCGTAGGTGCTTATAACATTTCTTTAAGTGTCTTGGAAAAGAAGAAAGTGGTCGTGTAAAAAAGCTGTTCCACAGAAATGTGTAAAGAGCCCTTTTTAAAGATTCAGTAATACCAGTCCCCTCTAAATCCATGAGAGGGTGGCTACTGAATGGAGGGGGGGAAACTGGTATATAGATACACACCCCCCCACACACACCCCCCCCAACAATTTAATTTGCTTAATTTTTATGTTTTGATTTACACTGACTTCTTATTTCCCTTCCCCCGCCTTTAGGCCCTATGAGAAAAAGGGAAAGCTAAGGATGCTGGAGCAGAACAATGGATTTCTCTTTCTCTTTCATGCAAGGGATCATGGGAAACACAATTCAGCAACCACCTCAACTCATTGACTCAGCCAACATCCGCCAAGAGGATGCCTTTGATGCCAGCAGTGACATTGCTGAAGATGGTGGACAAACGCCATACGAAACTGCCCTGCAGCAAGGCTTTCAGTACCCTACGCCCACGACAGAGGACCTTCCACCCATCACAAATGGCTACCCACCAACAATCAATATGTACGAACCTCAAGCCAAATACCAGACGTACAGTCAATATCCTAATGGTTCAGCCAATGGTTTTGGTACAGTCAGAAACTTTAGTCCCCCAGAGTATTACCAAATGGAAAACTCTAATGCAAGGCCACACGAAGTTCTGGAAAAACCTTCCCCTCCACAGCCGCCGCCTCCACCACCACCTTCAGTTTCACAAACGGTGATTCCAAAGAAGACTGGCTCACCAGAGATCAAATTAAAAATAACCAAAACTATCCAGAACGGCAGGGAATTGTTTGAGTCCTCTCTGTGTGGGGACCTTTTAAATGAAGTACAAGCGAGTGAGTATGCTAAGGCGAAACATGAAGGGAGAAAAGAGAAAAGGAAAAAAAGTAGCAAGCATGACTCTTCCCGATCGGAAGAGCGCAAGTCACACAAAATTCCAAAATTAGAACCAGAGGAACAAAATGTAAGTGGAATAATGGTTTCAGCCATCTGTATACCTGATATTGTTGATGGAGTATGCGTCTTCAGCAGTGTTTTTCCTTACGTTTTAGTTTGTATACATACTTAAGGTCATGAGGCTTTATTTACTGGTCAGATACTCTATATTAGGTTGCTAGGAACTGTATTTCTAGGACAACACAGTTTTGGTGAAAAGACTGCATATGAAAAATGAATGTTAGAAAAGGTTATATAATATCTTTTAATATTGTTTGGTGTTTTAGCATGTTCAGAGTTTGCTACACTTTGGACAGTGTTGAAGATGGAGCTTTTGGCCAAAAGTATACAAGCATACACATTCCTAAAATTGCCTCTGAAAATAATGCTGGGTTATTCAGTGGAAAGCCGGGTTACTTGGAGTATTCAGCACTGCAGCTTTTAATTAATTTTTGAAAGATATTCTAAATAACATGGTGACGTACAAAACCCAAGAGCTGTGTAGCATATGTAGCAGCCAGTAGAAATTAGTATTCTAAAACAGTAGGCAAATTAGAAGTACCAGTTGACTCTGCAAACTTTGGGAAAATTCAACATTGATGTCTGTTACCGTTTCTGTCAAGTTTTATAATATGGTTGTACATATACAGGGTGTGTATATATATGTGGTGTTTTAACTTAGATTCCATGAAGTAGAGACACAGATTACTGGTCTTCGGTACTCTCAGCCATACTTTTTTCTTCAGTTTTCTAAGCCACTTCATTACTTCTGTTTCCTTTTCTCTTGCTTATTCTTTCCAACTCTGTGGTACTGGTTTCTGTATTTCCCAGTTTGAAGGGAATGAGTAGCAGAGAGGGGTGGCGAGTGTCAGGAATGAGGAAGTTGCCGTATCGGGTCAGGACAGAAATTGCCCAGCTCGGGCTGGGCTGGGCTGTTACGGTATATAGCTGAGTTTCTTGTAAGTTCCTGTGAAACCCCTTGATACTTACTGCTTTTGGTAGGTGTGGGAGAAGATCCTGTCCTGTAGGGATCAGGACTCTGATCTAGTATAGCAGGTTCATATGCTTGATGTATTATTATTGATGTTGTTATTTTTAATGGAAGACATGCTGATTTCACACACACACCCCTTACAATATTCTATTTTATTTACAAGTTTTATAACTGTTATATCTCCCTCTGGTAAGTGGACCTCTTCCAGAGGTCAGGTTGGTGATGTATCAAGATTTTGAGCTTCTACTATATTTAATTACCATAGTTGACTCTAATGAAGCTCAGTAAGATCTTAATAAACATTGTAATCCAAACTTGAAATGGACTATCCAATTAAAATACGAGCCATCCGTGACTGCATTTGTACATCATTTTCTTGATCTTGGAAATGGTGTTGACCTCTTCCAGAGGTCAGGTTGGTGATGTATCAAGATTTTGAGCTTCTACTATATTTAATTACCATAGTTGACTCTAATGAAGCTCAGTAAGATCTTAATAAACATTGTAATCCAAACTTGAAATGGACTATCCAATTAAAATACGAGCCATCCGTGACTGCATTTGTACATCATTTTCTTGATCTTGGAAATGGTGTTTCAAGCCACTTTGAAGTGGCTGGGGGAACTGACAAGTTCAGCACTACCTCCCACC